AAATAAGTCAATAAATCCACTGCTCACTCGTCTCCTCTGAGGCTGGAACTCTAAACAGTGTTCTGTGCTAGTCTGTGCAGCCAAAGACAGAACAGTTAGCATGTTTTGCTCAAATGTTTGCCATGGCATTAGAGCTGGTACACCGTTGTCCCTTGCGAAATCAAAATGACGGTGCCTTGGGTGGAAGTTTACAGATTAAGGGGCGGTAATATTATAATGAGATCCCTTTGCATGTAACCAAGGGAGCGAAATCAGAGGCGCTGGTTTTCTCAGACGCTTGCAGAAAAAGGCTTACCTTAACAAAGTGATTGGGTTAATCTTTTTCACGTTTCCTTGGTTGGTAGATGCACCAGGGACCTGATTATAGCACTAAAAACCTGGAAAAGTCAGATTTTCATGATATGTCACCTTTAAGACTGCCAGATATTGGAATGATGCAACATCAAGCGTGTGTGCAGCATGCTTGTTAATACTTTAAATGTATCTTGGAACTTTGAGGGGTAATAACTTAAATTAAACATTGTTTAAACAACCTAATTTTTTTTTTTTTTTTTGTGGCTACATATCATATTCATCCGTTGCTGCCTATTCTTGCTTGCCCTCACATATCTACATTTATTTATTTATTTTTTGTAATATGGACTCTCTCACCAAAATAATATTACCATTCTGTCTGGACTGGAATTCATTGAATTGATAATAAATATTTTTAATTTATCATGTACATTACCAAAACCTTATGTGTCCCCTGTAAGGTGACTGTGGGAACTTTTATCTATATATATATGCAGTATAAAATGAAAAAAAGAAAAATAAATAAATATATATATATATATATATATATATAAAATGATATGAAACGGAATCACATTATAAACTCGCCGCACTTTCAGGATCTTTTGCACAAAGAAAATAAAATTGGTTGCAAGATTTTGTCATTGTAACACTATTGTAATGACAATTGCCCCAGATTCTGGCCAAAAATTCTCATTACTGTAATACATAAATGAAATCATCCTGTCTGGGTACAACATTTTTCATTATTATTATGCTTAGGCTTTAAGCTTTTATTATCAGCATATATGCAATTAATGCTACCATTATGTATACTTACATTTTACAATATACTGTTTTTTTGTGTTACAGTAATGAGAAAGGTCTTTTTTCTGCCTTAATACAGGCTGAAGACAATTGCATGTGGAAATGTGCCTAATTGTCATGCAATTAGTGTTGCAATTCAAAACACTTGAATTATCCTGAAAATATAATTTGTTTTTATTTTGGGATGAAATATCACCCAAGCATTTGTTGACCGTTTTTGTGAGATTTACAGTTCGACAGTTCTACTCACATTTGATTAATGACAATTAATGTCTGGCAAATGCAATAAATTAACCAAAAAATACAATTCTGGTCAAACTAGAAGGATGGTAGAAACAGCAGCAAGGAAGCACCAAGTGTGTATGTACTGTTGTTTATTCTGTACAAAGCACTACAGCACAATTAAAGTCTCTTAACAAGGCAACAGATATTTTTTTCCCTTTTGCCTGAATTTTGTCTGAAATATACTGTGGAAGCAGCGTTAAAACTATTAAGTGCAATTATATACATAAATACAGTTTATGAAAAAAAAAAGAAATTCTGTTCATGAAGAACACTTGAGCAGTTAGATGGGGGTGAGGAAAACCAGCCGAGAAATTTCTGAGTGTAGACATGCAACAAGCCACATTCATTTGTCCTATACATTAGCTTCACAGAAGGCTAGAGGGATTTTGTTGCCAATAATAGTGTTTTACACTACATGGTTTCAGTTCAAATTGTATGTTGAACATTATTTAAGATATCAGCCTTTATGGAAAATTTAACATGAACTCACTAAATGCCAAAGACTTGACTGGGAGTGTTTATCAGGCTTGCAAAGCCAGTCACTTTCTCCCATATAGATTTAATGTATAAAAATATATACAGCAAGACAGAACAGATCATCCTTTTGCTTATCTGACTAATCCAGTTAAGAGATCTCAATGACTGGTAAGTTGGGACAGGATTTCCTGTTTGTTTGAAAGTTTTGTAACTGTTGGATGCCACAAAAAAAAAAAAAATCACACAGTTCATGTTTAAAGTCACAGAATAATTTACACCAAAGAATTTTGGGAATATCAGTGGATATGATCAATCAAAACAGTTCCTTTGTGAATTGCATCAAGTTCGGGATGTTCTGCCAGTTTGGCAAAGATTAATTTAAAGACAATTCTGGGAAATTATCTCAAATAAATTATAAGCATACTTGTAAATATTTTGCTTTTGTCTTAACATGTTAGCAGGCGAATTTTGGATTATTATAGAAAAGTGCTTCAAAATGATAGTCTTCAAGTTATTTAAACGGTTGGCTAGGATCGAGACACTGACATTTTAATCTTATTAATTACGATCAATTTACTGCACTCTTAAGTCCAAAGTAAACTTCAGTTTTGACGCAAATGCCTAGCTAGAAATGTTCACTTTTGTCTAATGTCTGTGCTATTTCTCTCTAGAACCGAGAAAATCTCTTTGTACTATTTTAAACTAGGGTTGTGTGTATCTCTTAACCCCCTAAAGTCTCCCATACTTTTTCGAAACAATGGGTTAGCCCAATGTTGCCTCATTGTGCACCAAATAGTTAGTAATGTGCAAGCTGAGCATACGGAGTACACGAAATTTACGTGACACGCACATATAGCCTTCGCGTAAAAACCGAAGTATA